TAGCACAGATTGAAGCTAAGTATATCGTTGGATAATAAGGTAGTAGCATCGATAAGTGAAAGAAAGAAAACATCGAATTCAAAGAATATTGTAAAAAAAAATGATATCAGAAAATTGACAGATTGAAATGTTGGCTGTTTTGGCTTTTGGCTTCTTTCTTTTGGTCATCATTTTCATCAAAAACAAACAACAACAAAATGTGAGTTTTCATGGCCAACTTTTTCAATTAAAAAAATTTCAAAAAAAAAAATTTGTAAACAACGATTGTCAAACCACCATTGTGTCATTCGATCATTCGATTTTTTCAAAAAAAAACATTCCAACAAATTTGTTATTGAAAAAAATGATAATAATCTTCTTTTCCATCATCGCAAACATCAATCCTTCCTCCATCATCATCATCATCAAATGACAACAACAACAACGGATATTTCACATATAAAATATGGATGAAATGTGACGCCCACGCACATTGATTAAATTGATTTATCAATGATATTTACTTATCGATTGTCGAATTCCTTATCGACAGCTAATAATGTGATGATGGTGATGATGATAACAAAGTGTGTTTATATGTGTGTGTACAATTTGTGTAAACAAACAAAAATTCCCATTCAAAATTAGATCAAATCTGTGATGTTTTCTCATTCATTATTTGAATGAATGTTCCATATTTTTTTCCCTTTTTTTTAAAAAAATTATCAAATTTCCAATATCCCAAAATGTTTTCTTCTCATTGACAAATGATAATAATCATAAAATTTCTTTGTCGGTTTGGTTTGGTGTACTCAACATCAACATTAATCATTGTTGTTGAACAAAAGCATCATATACAAATATAGATCTTTGAAAAGGAATAATAATAAGATGTTACATCATCATCATCATCATCAGAACAAACGATGCTCATCTCTATTCAAACAAACAAACAACAAATAAACAAACCAACCTTTTATATACAAACACAACTCGCCAATGCCCATTCATTTATTATTATTTTTTTTTACTTTGCTTTGCTTTTACCCAAGTGATGTTTAATTTTTTCATTCCTTCGTTTCATTTGTAATCTCGTTCATCTCTTTTTTCTCTTTCTCTTCATGTTTTTTCCATGGTAAATCTTTTTTTTAAGAATGAAAAACATTGACTGACTGACTGAATGAATGAATTTGTGAATTGTGAAATAACAAAACCAAACTTTATTTCTCACAATGTTTGTTGTTTTTGTTGTTTTTCGAGCAAAATTGAAGAATAATAATCGTCATCATCATCATCATTGTTAAAATGGGAACAACAAAACAACAACAGAAAAAATGACCACCTGAATGAAAATAGAATCGAATGAAATGAATCCTATTTCCACCACCATCATCATCATCATTGACAACATCAATTTTTTGTTGAAAAATTCAAAACTGAAAATTGTTTTTTTTGTTGTCATTTTAAATTCTTTTTGAACAAGTGGTTTTTTAATATCCAACAGCAATAAAACAACAGAATGTTATTCGATTGTTGACGACGCATCAAATCTCCTTTTCATTTTTCTTTGTTTTTTGAACAACAACAAAATTGACATTTAGCAAAAAGCATTTAGCATCCTATTTTTATGTTTTTTTTCTTTGGTTGATGTTTTCAAATCAAACGATGCTTCTTTATATGTGTGTTTACTGAATTGAATCGACTTGTGCCCTACATTTTTTTTCCAAAACAAAAAAATAAGATGATGATGACATTAATTGGTGATTAACACTGCCATAATTTTTTTTTATAAATGAATGGATCCAGCTTTTATTATCATTATTTTATATTGACATTTTTTTATTTACTATTGTTGTTTTTTAATCTACAAACAAAAAAAGAATCATTCCTCAAATTGTATTATCTTTTTTAATAACATCTTTTTTTTTACTGTTTCTTTTTCAATTTTTTACTTCTTCTTTTTCTATTCACGTAATGTGATCACGTGTTGTTTGTTTGTTTATTTTTCGTTTTTGAATAATATGACCAACCACACCTACAATGAATAATTATGAATCAAAAAATTTAAAAAAAATGAAAAATAAACGAAACAAGAAACAACACCTACGCATCCTAACCTAAAAAATCAGCCAACTGTTTATTCCAGATTTTTTTTTGTTTTTGTTTCTCTATCTATCTCTATCATCATTTTTACATTTGAAATTTGTGAAATTTTTTGATGCAAATAAACATTATTATCAGCGTTTGTTTATGAATTTCATCTATTTGAAAACTATTTCCACTTAAGTGATCCAAAAAGAAAAACGAAAAAAGAAATCCTTTTTGTTCCTGTTCGATTGAAATGATGAGTTCTCCAACAACATCAATTTCTCGGCCACCGTTGCCACCACCACCACCTCCACCTCCGCCATCATCATCATCACAACAATCAAATTCGATGATCAATAATAATCATTGTGATATAACATCATCAACAACAATCATCACTAATAATAATAATAATAATAATAATAATTTACAATATTCACCATCAAGACGTTCAAGAACAATGTTATTGTCGAATAATGGTACATCATCGACGACAACAACAACAACAATGGTAACAACAACAACAACAACAACAAATTTAAATGGAAAATTATCATCATCATTATCAGCAGAAGATGATGTACTTGGTCAAATTACTAAAGAGGTAAGCAAAGTTTTATGTCAAAGTTATTTACCTGTTGATATAAATCAATCAAAAAATTTTATATGATGAAATTATTATTATTATCATTTTTTTTGAGGTTAATGGATAATTGGAGGTTGATTTTTTTTTGTTGTCTGTATGATGTCATTCATTTACTGATGATAATGATGATAATGATCGTGGTGGTGGTGGTGGTGATAAATCAATTTATATTTCCTTGATGGTGATGGTTTTTTATAGTAAATATTACCTTGTTTGACTTAATTTTTTTTAATTATTTTAGCTCCGGTTTTGATGATAATTATAACGGTTATCCAAGTTGATAAAATACCGGATTTTTTTAAAGTAAAGGTTTTATTAATGGGATAGATAGATAATTATAACCATAAACTTGTTATTTAGTTACATTTTTAGTTGATTATTATCGTTTGAAGAAGTTTTTCATCACCACCATTGCTGTTGATTATAATCAGTTATTTTTTTTCGGTGGTTACCACATTTCATATTTTTCTAGGTTATTTCAAGAAAAAAAAAGATCCTGATTTGTATATGCCGGTATGATTATTCATTTGATCATTCATTCGAAATGAGGGGGGATGATCACACACACATATGATTATCACTCCCCCCTTTGTTGGTTATCTTATATAATCTTTACTTTATGTTTCGAATACGAAAGGTGTCGCTACTTGTTTTTTCGATTTGCGAAATTCAAAACAAAATTCAGTTTTTTTTTGCTTTGATCATCATGTTTTTTTCTTGGCAAATAAAGTGTCGTCTGAATCGTTTGACGATTTAGAAAAAAATTTCCTTGTTTTCTTTGGCAAATAATAATAATAATAATTTTTTTGGCAAACATACAAATGATCAATTGTCAATTGTCAGATTGCCTGCTTAAAAATAAATTTTGATGACAATGTTTGTTGAGCAAAGAATCCTGATGTTGATGATAATAATGTGGAAAATTTTAAATGTGATTGATTGATTGGATTGAATTTGAAAGAAATCAGAAATAAAAAACACATAAAAAAACTAGAATTACCTGATGATGATGATGATGATGGAAATAGAATATTTTGTTTTTTTGGAAAATTGTTTTTTAATCCTTTCATTTTTGCTTATTTGCTTCTTTATACGAATTGTGATTTCCAGAAAGATGATGATGATTATGAATCAAGTTAGAAAAAAAACATCTCGGCAGACGAAACTATTTTTATAAATTTTTTCTCCATTTCTTTTAATCTAAATCTTATTATGATCATGTAATAAATAAGCATTCTTTTTCTGTGTTTTATCATCATCATCATTGTTGATGAAACATGTTGATATTACATCAATTACAGATGATGCGTTTGCGTCAATCGAGAATATATACATTCTTAAAGAAATTCTTTACTTCATAAAGTGTGAATGAAATGAATAAAAAAATTCTGTTCTGTTTTTAGTCTTTTTTCTCTTTCTCTCTCTCTCTCTCTCTCTCTCACTTTTCTTATTTTAATTTCAATTTGAGTTTGAGTTTGTTTGTCTTCATCATCATCTTTTTTGTTTGATGATGATGTTTGATTCTTGTTTTCATTCTTATTTGGTCGAGGTTCATTGGCGTCGTTTTTTGTTTCGTCTTTTTGGTTTATTCCTGTATTTTTGCTGTTTGATAAAAACATACAGGATATAACAATTTGATACGGTTTTGGTGTGTTTTTGTTATTTCGACAAAACAAAACAAACAAACAAAAAGAATGCCTGTCGGTTCACAATCACGTCGTGCATCAATTTATCTGGCTACTGGTAATATTGTAACAAGTAAAGTGGATGATAATGATGATGGAGGAAATCGAAAATCAGCAACAACAACATCATCATCAATGATTTCACCATCAACACCAATTCGAACACCAACAATGATAATGAATAATATTGGTGGTAGTAGTGGTGGTTCATCAATGAAAAATCCATTTTTTACATCCGAACCATCATCATCATCAATGTTTAATGGATTAAATGATGATAATAAATGTTTGAAAACAATGGAATCATCATTGATGACATCATTATCAACAAATTATCGTCCATCACCAACAATTGAACAATTATTAAATAGTCGTCCATCATCAATGATGATGAATGATAATCAATTACCAATATTATTATATATACGTAATTATAATGAATATCGAAGACATCGACCGGTAAACAATTGAATGTTTTTTTCTTTTGTTTTTGTTTTACAAATCTTTCCAAAGAACAGAAAATCAATCAATCATTTACCTTTTACTATGATGATTGATTGATTGATTAATCGATTGATTTTAGTTTAATCTTAAAATAATGATGATGATGATGATTTGAGCTCATTGATCATTTATCATCATAATTGAGTTGGTTGGTTGGTTGGTTGACTAGTTACAAATTTGATGACAAAATTTTAATCCCCTTTTAAATAATTACTAGGTTTTTTAATTGTTTTTCTCGTTTTGTAAATAGTAAATAAAAAAAACAAACAAATACCAAAGGTGTGTTTGTGTTTTAAGGATTATAAATGATGGATGTTGCCTGTTTTGAATGAATGAATTGTAGTTTTTTGTCCTTTGTCACACTATGTGGTAGTTATTGTTGTTGTTGATGATGTTTTGATGAATTGACAAATTCTTCATTGTTTGTTTGTTTTAGATAGTTTTAAAAAAAGTTCAAAATTCCTTGTTTTACCTGTGTGATTTTGATTAATTTGCTATTTTGTTTTGTTTTACTATTTTCCCATTAAAAACAAACAAACAAACAAAAAAATGTTACCATCATCATCATTGAATGACAACCAAAATTCTACAACAATTCGAATGATTGTTTGGCAATTTTTTTAAATAGTTTTTTTTGCAGATTTTAAAATTTTTTTAAATTTTTTTAAAAAATTCCTTTTTTTTTCTTCATTTTTTTTCATTCTAAACAACAACAACATAAAGGCTGAAGCAAGATTGGCTGCACGTCGTCGTGAACGAGCTGAAGCACGTGAAATTCGTTTACGTGAAATAGAACGACAACAAAAAGAAATGGATGAACATTCGGATAAACATTATGAATTATTGAATAATAATGGTAATGTTTCGAATGTTTCGGGTATTAATAATCAAATCCAAACGATCAATAATAATAATATGGATCATATCGGTAATAGTTATCGTATGCGAACAACTCCAATTATTTCACGTGAAGTAAGTTTTATTTTAATTGCGTTTTACGATGCGGATAATATTTTCCTTTTTTTCCATCATTCATTTTAGAGTCGTACTTCATCCTATACAAGTTCACGAAGAAGTAGTCAAGAATCATTGGATATGATGTGTGGTGGTACAAACGATTCTCCTCGTGAGCTTAGAGTAAGTTTTGTTTTGTTTTTTCCTTGTCAAAAAATCAAAATTAATTTTTTGTTTGTCATTTACATAAGCATTATGCACAAGAATTAGAGGAAAAATTTCGTAAAGCAATGATTAATAATGCTCAATTAGATAATGAAAAACAATCATATGTTTATCAAATTGATTTATTTAAAGATGAAATGGAAGAATTGGAAGAAAATTATTTAAGGTTACAACGTGATTTTAAGGAAAAATCTCGGGTATGTATTTTGTTGTTGTTCGAGAATTGTTTCGATAACTTTTTGTTTTCTTTCTTTTTTTTTGCCCACAACCAAAAAATATAGAATTATGAACAACTTAAGCGTGATAATGAACGATTACAATTTGATTTTAAATGCTATAAAGAAGCATTAGAAGAAAGAGAACGATTAATAAAAGTAAGTTTTTTTTGTATTTTTAAATTTTTTGTAATTTTTGTATTTTTGTAAATCTAATAATTTTGAATAATCTGGATAATAAAACTTAGGAAGCTGATCTCGTTATAATTCGCAATAATGGTAATCAAAATGCCAAAATATTTCATAAAAATAAATTATTATTACAAAATGGCCATCCGAATGGTGAAAATCATTCAATGATTAATGGTGATGTTAATAATGATAATAATGATGATGATGAAGATTTTCCCGTATTATTGGCCAATAATCTTTCATTAATAAGTAAAGATGCATCATTAATATTAGAAGATATACCGGGTAAAACATTGGAAAATAAATTAAAAAATTTAATGCTTGAACATCGTCAATTACAAAATCAAATTAATGAATTAAAAAATGAATTAGATGATGAACGTAATCGTGCTTGTTCAATGAATGAAGCATTTGGTAATAATTCATTACATTTAACAACTGAAATGCAAGCTGAAATACAAAGTAAGTTTTTTTGATTGATTGATTGATTGATTGATTGATTTGATTTGATTTGATTGACATTTTCTCTAATTGCTTGCTTGTTTTTTGTTTTCATTTTAATAAAGGAGAAGCAAATAAAATGACAAATGATCTCCGTTATAAATTAAAAAAATGTGAACAAGAAAATGCTACACTAATTTCGACTGTAAATCGTTTAGAAAATCAATTGATACGTTGTAAAGCTGACGCTGATCAATCGGAAAGATTAGAAGAAGAATTAAAATTGGACAAAAGAAAAGCACAACGTGAAGTAAGTTTACGTGTTTTTGCTCTAATCGTCCCAATTTTATTAATTTTTCTTTTTTACTTTTTAGCTACGTGAAGCATTGACCAAAATTGAAGAATTAGAATCGGCAAATGTTCATCTACAGAAACGTATCGATAAACTTAAATCAAATCGTAATATAATTGGTATTATTACAAATGGTGGTAGTAACAATAATAATAATAATGGTTCGAATATCACTGATCAGACCATACCACAACCACAGCCATCGACAACAGAATCATCATCATCATGTGCATCATCGGATATATCATCGACATTATGTTCATCATCATCAACAACAACGAATGACTGAATGATTACAAAAAAATTCATGTATTTCGCTCCCATTACTCCATACAATGTGATATATAATCAACAAATGAGAAACCGTAATGACAATCAAGACTTGTAATTAAGTTTATGACATTTATAATGATGATGATAATGATGAAAACCAATAAGTCGGATGGAACAAAACCGAAACCCTGTGCCAATTTTGAAAATTTTGTTTGTTTTTTTTTAATTTCAACAACAACAAGAATAACGACAATTAACACATACACTAATAATTATTAGCTGATAATCAAAATTTAAAGATTTTTTTACTCATCATCATCATCATTATTATCAAAATATGATTAGTGTAAACATTTTTGTCTTTGTCTTTGTTTTTTTTATAATTATTTATTTTTAACAACAACAACAACAACAATTACTTTATATTGATAAATCTTTTAACATCTTTTTTTCCTTTTTTTAAAAAAAAACAATTTGATTTAATAAAATTAAAATTTTTTCATAATTTGAATTTCTTTGCGTAACGTCCTTTATGAACGACTTTTTCGAATGTTTTTAAAAACAAAACAAAACAAAAAAATCATTAAATTTGTCAAGAGATATTTTCTTCATTTTCTGGTGTTGACAATATTGTCTAGATTTTTTTTCATCTTCTTGTTTTTAATTTCATTTTTCGTTTTTGTTGTTGTTTTTCATTCGAGAAAACTCTATGAAGCGAAAAAGAACAAAAAAATATATGGTGTTATTCTTGGTGATTTTGAATACAATCAATCATAATGATCATCATCGGAAACGATGATTAAATAAATCAATAAATCAATGATTTTATAAGAATCAACGACAACTACATCCAATATCCACATAATGTTTTAATTAACTTTAATCATTTATAATTGGTTGTTGATTCAGCAAAAATGAAATGAAAGTAATCTCTCAAAAGATATTTATCATCCAATATTTCAATCAATTTGATCAATCAATCAATCATAGAAACATTTGCAATACACCAGAGCAACACACACACTGGTGGTATCATCGATACTCCTTTTTTTGGTTTTTGATTTTGGTTTTGTTTTTGTGTTTTTTGTGTGTTTAATGTTTAACCGAAACGAAATTTGACCTGGATTAAACGAGCAATTTTCATCATCATCATCATTGTTTTCATTTTTTGTTTTCTACTTTTTTTTTACCTATCATTTTTTTAACTTTGATTTTAATTTGTTTTCATTGTTTCTTTTATTGAACAACAACAACAACAAAAATCGACAAAACGGATCGGTGAAGGTATGTAAATTTTTTTCGATTTTAATTTCATTTCGAAAGAAAAAAAAAATTTCGTTTGTTTTGGATTCTTGTTTCGGAAGTTTTTCCCCACCACCATCAACACCGATTCGAACGATCCAAGTTGGCATGCCAATGATATCGACACAATGAATTTTTCCAGTTTCGGTTGTTGTTGTTGTTGTTTTGTGAAGAACTTTTCCTCGACAACAACAACAACATTTTCATAGATGAATTTTTTCAATTTTTTTTTCAGAAGAAAAAAAATTCTTGACATTGAAAAAAAGGGATATCTTCGTATTTTTTTTCTTTTGTTGCTTAGCTATCCAATTCTTGATGAACGAAAAATGTTCATTTCTTTTTGAATTTTGATATCGAATTTCAAAAAAAAATCGATTTTAATGATTCAAGATAATGACGTTTTCTGTGGTTAGTTTGGTCGCATTCTCATTATGGAAAAAGAGAAATTCCTATTAAAAATTTTTCAGTTTTGTTTTGTTCAAAAAGTTGAAATACGTCAAACGAATATAATAATACAGGGAGAGAGAGAGAGAGAGAGAAATTGTTTGGAATGAATGGGAAAACGAATTTTTTTTAAAAAATTTAGTTCAACATTTTTTTTTCTTTCGGGAAATGAGAATATCATCATCATCATTTTTTGGTTACTCTTGGTTACAAATTATTATTATTTGTAAAAGTTTTTTATATTTTTTAAAAAATGAAATGAAAAATACAAAAAAAAACACATTGATAATGTCCGTTTCATTTTGGTGTTATTGTGTGTGTGTATGTCCTTATGAAATCGCATTGTGTGTGGGTGTTAGTGTTAGTTTGTTGCAATCAATATTGATGTTTATGGTGTGTTTTGATTGTCATTCATCCATCCACATTATACAAATTTTTCTAATTAAAATTAATGACAGGTGTGTTCGTGTGTGTGTCTGCTTGATTGTCCACATGAATTCCTTTCATGATTCTCTATCTGTAACCTTGATTTATTTCAAATGATGATGATATGAATATGATGATTGTCATATCAATATATTTAATTGAAAATTTATTATTTATATCATCATCATCATCATTGTAGATTGTGTGTTTTTTAACTATGAATATTATAAATGGATATTATTATTATGTACAAACAAACCAAACCAAAAAATAACGGAAAACAAAACCAAGAAATTTTTACCTTGACATTTTGAATCCATCTTTTCATAATTCATTAATTTCTATACACACAGGGTGTGTGTTTTTCTTTCGTTTTTCGTTATTTGGTTATTTGGTGCTGTTTTTTTGTGAAACAACTTAACCAAGAAAAAAAACTGTTTGATCATCGTCATCATCTTGCTACACACACAGACATTTATCACTTGTCATTTCTTTTTTCTTAATTTCTAAATTTCGTGATCATCATCAAAGAGAAGAAGAAGAAGAAAGAAAAAAATGAGGAAATCCGTTCGGTTAGGCCTTAATTATGAACTAGACAACCAAAATGGTTGACAATGATTTTCAAACATGCAAAACATATTTAAAAACATTATTAGAATCTGTTGGCTTTTTTAATGGAATTATTTTCCCAATTTGATTGACTGATTTTGAATGACAAAAAAAACAAACAACAGCAGAAAAACGCAAAAACAAAAAACAAAAGTTTGCATTCATTTTGTTTGTTTATTTATGGTTGGTTGTCATTTTGTTTGTTTGGATCGATTCAGTAAATATATTTTTTTTTCTTCTGGTGCGATTATTCATACGAATTTTCTCAACTTTATCCAAAAAACTTGAATTCAAATGAATTTTTACGCTTATCGCATTATTTTTTTTCATATGAATTTTTTTTGATTTAAAAATAAATCCTACACCTACGTAAAACTTGGTGAAGTGAGAGACAGTGATAAATTCATTTATATCTTTATTTTTAAATAATAATAATAATAATCTTTCTGAAACAAAATTATCAAATTATTAATGTCAACATGAAACGTTCATCGATAGCCAAAGGTTTGGATATTTTTTTCATTTTATATTTCCCAAAAATATTTTCATTATTGAAAATCAATATCGTATCAAATATATTGATTTCTATTCGATTGATTTTTTGATATTGATTGCTCTCACTGTGTGTGTGTGTGTGTTTATTTGATAACAAATGATACTTTGGCTTTACTTTTGACTTTTATCAGTAATTTGTTTACTTTTAATTTGATAAATGGTGGATTAAATCATTTATTATTAGGGATTATTAATGAGTTTTGTTTTCATTTTCGATTTGTTTTCATTTTTATTTATTTGTTATTGATTTTTTCTTTTGAATCTGTAATTTCATTTTCGTTATTTTTTTCATTTGTTGTTGAATAATTAGATGAAAATCAGCCTTATATAATACAACAGGCAATCGAATCGGAAATCGATACAAAATTATCGGTACGTTTTCAGAAAAATAAATGTGATTCAACTGAATCGACAGCAACAACAACAACAATATTTACAATTGGTGAAGAATATAATAATCAAAAAAATAATAATAATTCAAAAATAAAAACAACGAAACGAAAAAGTCCTTCGAATAAAAAGGCTACTGTAGCAGTAGCAACAGGGCCGCCATTTAATGTTCGTAAATTATCAACACCGAAATTAATTAAATCATCATTAGAAACACCAACATCATCATCATCATTGATTTTATCATCAAAATCATCTACGGAATCAACAATCATGTCACCTGCAATTGAATTACGTCGTTTTAGTAGTAGAGGTGGTAGAAGAAGTTTATCCGGTCAAAATTCACGTTGGTCAAATTTTTTTCGTCGAAAATCACAACAACAACACAATACTCGTATTGTAAAAGTATTACGATTAAATAATAGATATGATGAAAATGTAATAGCAACAGCAAAATATAATATTGTTACATTTTTTCCGAAATTTTTATTCGAACAATTTCGAAAATATGCCAACATATTTTTTCTATTTATTTCATTAATGCAACAAATACCAAATGTTTCACCAACTGGTCGTTATACAACACTTGTACCATTAGTTTTTATATTAGTTGTATCGGCATTAAAAGAAATGTTTGAAGATGTTAAAAGACATCGTGCTGATCATAAAGTAAATAATAGTCAAGCAGAAGTTTATGAAAAATCTTCATTTGTACAAACAAAATGGAAAAATTTACGTGTTGGTGATATTGTACGTGTTAAAAAAGGTCAATATTTTCCAAGCGATTTAGTTATATTCACCTCAAGTGAGCCAAATGGTAAATTGTTTTTTTTTGGTCAATTTGAATCAAAAAAATCATAACTGAAAACATTTTTTGTTTCTCCTTTCCATAGGTATATGTTATGTTGAAACTGCCAATTTAGATGGTGAATCAAATCTAAAATCACGTTCATCATTAAAGATTACTGATGAAATTTGTATAACAACCGATTCAGATGATAAAAGAAAATTAAATATGCAAGCATTTGAACCAAATAAATTAACATCGGCAATAATTAATTGTGATTTACCGAATAAAGAATTATATGAATTTATTGGAAAAATATTGATCGATAATCGTGAATATCCAATATCACCGGAAAATATTTTATTACGTGGTGCTAAATTACGAAATACTGAATGGATAATTGGCTGTGTTATCTATACTGGTCATGAAACAAAATTAATGATGAATTCATTAAATAAAACAATATTAAAACAATCATATGTTGAAATAATGACCAATCGACAGATACTTGCTTTATTAGGTATATTAATAGTTATTTGTTTAATATCAGCAATTTGTTCAGTACTTTGGACAAAACATAATCAATCACATTGGTATTTAGATGAATTACAATCACAAGTAACGGCCAATTTTTTTCTCATTCTACTTACATTTATTATACTTTATAATAATTTAATACCAATTTCATTACAAGTAACACTTGAAATGGTTAGATTTATACAAGCTCATTTTATTAATAATGATTTGGAAATGTATTGTCCGGATTCGGATACACCTGCAATGGCACGTACATCAAATTTAAATGAAGAATTAGGACAAGTTCGTTATATATTATCAGATAAAACTGGTACAATGACAAGAAATATAATGGAATTTAAAAAATGTTCAATCAATGGAATTATTTATGATGAACAAAATTTTAATAAATTAGTTGATATTATTAAGAAAAAAGAAAAAGGTTGTGATAAAGTTCGTGAATTTTTAACATTATTGGCTGTTTGTCATACGGTAATACCTGAACCAACACCAAATTCAGATGATGGATCAAAATTTATTTATCAAGCATCAAGCCCGGATGAAGCTGCATTAGTAAAAGGAGCACAACAAATTGGTTTTGAATTTTTACAACGAACACCGGCAAAAGTTGTTATCGATGCTATGGGAAAAATTAAAAAGTAATTATTTTCTTTTTTGTTTTGTTTTTCGTTTACTAAAATTCAATTTTTTCTTACAGGTTTGAAGTTTTAAATATACTACCATTCAATTCGGATCGAAAAAGAATGTCGACAATAATTCGAACACCATCATCGAAAAAGATTAAAATCTATACAAAAGGTGCTGATTCAATTATTCAACGTAGACTATGTGAAAAATCATCAAAAATTTTTACTGAAACTGAAATCAATTTGACAATATTTGCAACAAGTGGATTACGAACATTATGTTGTGCATATAAAGAAATTCCCGATAATGAATATGATGAATGGGAAAAACGTTATAATAAAGCATTACTTATGCCAGCATCATCATTAGAAGAAAGAGCATTACGTGATCAATCATTGAATGATGTAATGTCCGAAATTGAAGAAAATCTTATATTACTTGGTGCAACAGCTATTGAAGATAAATTACAAGAAGGTGTACCAGAAACTATTGAAACTTTAATCCGTGCTGGTATCAATATTTGGATGTTAACTGGTGATAAACTTGAAACAGCTACCAATATAAGTTATAGTTGTCGATTGTTGAAAAATATTCAAGCAATAGAATGTTATCATATTATTAAAGATGAAACACTTGATTTATGTCGTGAAACATTGGTAAATGCTGAAGCAAAATTAAATGAACATCCTGAAGATTTTACTTTGATTATTGATAGTAAGTTTTCCACACACACACACAAAAAAAAAATCAATCTATGATATCATTAATATCTTTTTTATTAAATTTAGGTAAACCATTAAGTTTTTGTCTTCAACCAGAATTAAGGCCACAATTTATGGAGCTAGCATTGAAATGTAGATCAGTAGTTTGTTGTCGTGTATCACCTGCACAGAAAGCCGAAATTGTTAATGCTGTTAAACAATCAACAAGTGCAATTACATTAGCTGTTGGTGATGGTGCCAATGATGTAGCAATGATCAGAGCGGCTAATGTTGGTGTTGGAATATCCGGTCAAGAAGGTATTAATTTTTTTTCATTCATTAATTGACAATAATAACATTGATATATAATATAATTTGTTTGTAAATAATTAGGCTTACAAGCTGTACATTCATCGGATTATTCTATTGCTCAATTTCGTTTTCTTGCCAGATTATTATTGGTTCATGGATCTTGGTCATTTTCACGTGTTTGCAAACTTATCCTTTATTCATTCTATAAAAATATTGCATTATATGTTATTGAACTTTGGTTTGCATCTGTTTCGGCTTGGAGTGGCCAGGCAGTATTTGAACGATGGTCAATTGGTTTATATAATGTTATATTTACTGCCGGACCTCCACTTGTTATCGGTTTATTTGATCGTATATGTTCGGATAAAGTTATGCTAGAAAATCCTGAACTTTATAGAGATCAAACAAACGTTTTCAGTATTAAATTATTTTGGTTTTGGATTGCATCATCTATTTGGCATTCATTGGTTCTTTTTTGGTTAACCTATGCCACTGTCAGTCATGATGCATTATGGGTTAATGGAAGATCTGATGGTGGATATCTATGTTTTGGAAATATTCTTTACACTTATGTGGTTGTCACTGTTTGTTTGAAAGCTGCATTAGAAACAAATTGTTGGACATTGCCTACACATCTTGCAATTTGGGGCTCAATTATATCATGGTTCATTTTTCTTATCGCTTATAGTCGTGCATGGCCAGGTTTACCAATCGGTGCTGATATATCAGATATTGATCGAATTATTTTCACTTCAAACATTTTTTGGCTTGGTTTAGCCATTATACCTTTTGTCGCTTTATTAGTGGATATTATTGTCAAATTGGTGACACGTACCTGTTTCAAATCATTAGCCGATCGAATTATTGAATTAGAAATGCTTAAAGAAATGCAATCTCGTCAACGTATATCGATTAGTGAACGTGCACGTTTATTGTTAAATAATTTTAGGCCAGCCAGTAGAGAAACACCACAACATTTACGACGTGAACGAATTTCTTCAATCGAAAGGATAGAATCATCAATACATCCAAATGCAAGCGATATTGAAAAAGATGCATTACATGGTTATTCATTTTCAGAAGAAGAACGTGATCCATCTAGTGCTGTTTCACATTCAAGTGCAATCAGATTATATCCTGATACAAAAATGTAAAATTTCAATCATCATTATCATCCATCATCATCATTATTCATACTAATTTATGTCCAAAAATGTGTTTCTGAATCATCATCATTTATATTCAAATTAATAAATCATATATTTTTATGATTATGATTATTTGTTTCTACTACTATTATCATCTTCTTCTCTCAATTGTAATTTGATAATTTGATTTTAAATAAAAATTTATTGATAATTTATGAATATCATCATTGGAATGTTATCAATAATTAATTCAATTTAATGAACTGTTTTTATACGATGCAAAATGGCAATTCATAAAAACTGTACACCACACAAACAAACACATTTCACATTTTCACATGTTAGAATTTTCGAATGGTTAAAACATTTGATTTGATTTGATTTGTATCATAATGTTGGATCGTATTTTGAATTCTCGTCAATCTTCATCAAAAGAATCCGAATATGAAGATTGTTTTCAATGTCGTATGATTGGTGGTGGTGGTCTTGTCGGTCTTGGTAGCTATATTATCTATTATTCATTTCAACGAAGAAATATACCAACAGCAAATAAATTATCCGTTTTTGCTTCAGCATTTATTGGATCCGTTGTGATGACATTGGGTACAATGCGATTACTTGGTATTCATGAATGGAAAAATATTCCAAACAAACAACAATCAAAACCCGAATCATAGAACCAATATTATCAACCGAAGGAAATACGCATGTAAATTTTATTGATATTTTTTTTTCATTTTGAAAAAACGAACTGAACATTATAAAACATTTTATTTATGTAGATCAAACCAAAATGTAGTCATTTTTTTGCCTCCTCAAACCAACAAAATGTGTAAAATTATAATCTGCAATGTTGTTTATTTTGTTTGTATCATCATCGAAGAATTTAAAAAAAAAAAATTCACACAAAAATTTTTATATATCAAAAAAAAACAAACAAAATCTTGGAAGTGAAGGGGGTAAGAGAAAAAGAATCCAAAACTAAATCTTTGAATAAGAATAGAATGGCTTTTTGAAAATTCCGTAGGAAAGAGAAAAAGAAAGAATTAAAAATAAAATGTTTGATTATGAAATCAATCAAGAAATTCACATTCACATTAAATGTTTATGTTGTGTATTGTAATAATCAAAACGAAAAAAAAAGATCAAATCATCATCATCATGATGGCCACACTAAAATTCTACTATTCTAATATTTTTTTTTTTTTTTGATTGACAGAATTCATGTAAAATTTGTAATTTTTGTTTTTACGAAAAAAAAAATTATAAATTTTGTAAATGGTGTGTGTGTGTGTGTGTGTGGAAGTAAAGTGAAACAAATCCATGTGTGTGTGTGTTATGTATGGTTATTTTATATATTTATCAGATCAAATTAGGTGAAGAAGAAGAAGAAGAGGGGAAAAAAATATCACTTAAACAAAAAGATAATAATCATCATCATCAAATATAGTGATTAATATAATTATCACACACAGAAAAAAAACAAATGTTTTACAGCTCATTATTCATTAATCTTCAATGTAAATTCCAAAAAAAAAATTATCAATCAGAATCCATTTGAACATTTTCACTTTTGTTGTCGCTGCTGCTATTATTATTATTGTTATTATTTGAATCCTGAGTAGTAACATTTTCACTTGATGTAGCCGAACGAAGTAATGATTGATGTTGGGCTGTTGTTGTTGTTGACTGATTATGATGATGATGATGATGATGATGTTGTTGATGGTTAACAAAATTTGGCTGCGAAAATATATTCATCGGTGATGAATGTTGTTGGCTTCCAGTTGTTATATTACTATTTGCAAACAAATTAGTATATGATCCAATTGATGCTAAAAATGAATGTCCACATTTTGGACAGCAAACAGTTTTATGACGACTAATAGGACTAATTGGACGTGGCATTAATTGTTCATGACTGATTGGTGATGAAATTGCTAATGGTGTTGGTGGTGGTGCTTTAGCCTGTGGTGACATTGCAACATTCATTGGTACTGGTGATGATAATGTTCGTTGTCGAGCACCACCACCCCCACCATTCGATGATGTACTTGGTGTTGGTAAAATATAATCATTTGAAACATGACGATCATCAAAATCAATCTCTAATGATGATTCAGATTCACTGTGGAACAAACAAACAAAAAAATTAAAAATTGTAAGAATTCAAATTATCAAATTTTACCTTAAATGTCGACATAAACGTTCACGTCTTTCAATTTCCATTTGTAATTTTCGTTGTAAACGAACATTTTGTTCTCTTTGTTCACGTTCTTCTTTTTCCAATAAAGACATTTTTTCATTATGTTCTTTTTCGGCTATTTGAAGTCGATTACGTAATTTCATTACTTCACTACGTAATGATTTTACATGATTACTTAATTGATGAGGATCACACATACAACTACGTTCATTCATTGATGAATGATTCATTAATGATGATGAATTATTATTCGAACCAAGTGAACAAATTGGTATTGATTGTCCACCGCTATTGCCACCACCACCACCACCACCACTGTTCATTGGACTCATCGGTTGTTGTTGTTGTGATGATGGTGGTCCAGGTGATTGTGCCGGTGTCATAACCTGTACCGATGATGATGATGATGATTGATTGGAATTTTCATCTATAATAAAAATCAATATAAAATCAATCAATTAAGCAAAAAAAAAATTCTTGGACATACTTGATGAACAACCACTAGCCGCACTAAATGTTTCAAGTTTATCATATAAATCACGTTTTTCATTTTCCAATTTATCCATACGTTTCCATAATTTATTAACCAATGCTTCTTGTTCTTGTTCCAATGTATTTTCTAATTCAATTTTTTCTCTACGTAATTGTTCCAGATTATTCTGTTTCCGGATTGTTTCATTTTCTAATTTTTCAATTTTTCTCATCAATTTATTAACTAATGCTTCTTGTTCTTGTTCCAATGTATGTTCCAATTGTACCTGAAAATGTTTTTTGCACAGAAAGAAAAATCATTAAAATAAAACCTGAAAATCAAACAATGGAAGAAACAAACCTTTTCAGCACGTAATTGATTCAATTTTCTTGATAAATCATTTGTTAAACATTCTTCTTCATGTTCATAATTAAGTGCTAATGTTTCTTTTTCTTTTTTTAATGTTTGTATACGTTTCAATAAGGTATTTGAAATATATTCTTCTTCTTGTTCAGCTTTAGCCTGTATTGATACTGATGCACGACGTAATGTTTTATTTTCTTCAATTAAACTTTTTATACGTAATTTAAGTGTATCGATTTCAATTTTTAATACACGATTTTCTTGTTCTAAACGATCCATTGATGGATTTGAACCAACAACAACTATTGATGATGATGGTGATGGTGATATTATATTTGGTGGTGGTGGTGATGGTGTCATAAATGATGATGATGAACGACTTGTAGCTATTGGTGATGCTAACATTGATGATGATGATGATACACCATCCATTTGACCTTCGGATGAATCGGCCATATTCTTTTTTTTCAATCAATTTTTTACTTGAATCACAAAAAACAACAACAATAACAAAAATAAACAAATTACTCACTCACTCACAGAAAAAAACAAACAAAAGATGATGATGATAAACACGCCGACAGTATATAATGATAAACGCAACTTTTTTTGCAAATCAAAAAATGATAATCATCATTATGAAAAATGAAGAAAAAAATTAATCGATCGATCAATTCAATACAATCGATTATCGTAACAACCGAGAAACAAAATATCGAATCAATCAAAAAAAATGAACGAATTTTGATCGACGAACGATGAATTGGCAGAAAATTAAAATTTTCCAAATGAAATACAAATTGGCAGAAATAACATACCGACGAATCAAGTGTTAATTTTAAAATCTGGTGAATTTATTTTCAGTTTGATTCAATTATCAAATGTCATTTCGTTTTTAGAATATATGTTTAGTGTAGCAAATAACACAGACCGAGCAGCAAAACAACCATTTGAGTTTTTCGAGACAAAAAAAATAAACGGGGCAAAAATTTAATTCTTTTTTTTAACCCCCTGTCTGCCACCACAATCAATTTGTCATTTGAAAGAGATTCTGTCGAGTCTGGTCGGATAATAAAATAATAATTTTTGTTTTTCGGAATTCTGCAATTTTCAATTGAGCAGCCACTTTGTGTTGAAATACACCAAACCAAACACACAGACAGCACTGAATTTCTCTTGTTGAATTCACTTTCTTGGAACATACAGAATATTCATATATAACACTCATCAACAAACAAACAAACAACAGAAAATACGCCGTTGGAGTATGGTTATGATGACGATGAAAAACGCCAATTCGGGATTCAGCTTGCGCTTGTGTTGAAAACAAAAATTTGGCTGCTTCTTCGTTTGTTGTTTTGCAAAAATGGGAAGGATCTTTTTCTGTTTCCAAATACACGTTATATATGCGATTTTACTGTTGCTGTTGTCCGCAAATAAAGATAATTTTTTTTCAAATTCAAAACTTTTTTTCTATATTTAAAACTTTTAAACAAAAACAAAACAAAAAATGTCTGGATGGATGGCTGGAAGAGCGAGAGAGAGAGAGAGAGAGTGGGAGAGAGAGCGATTAAAAACCGAAAACAACAAACGCCGATCGACGATGAGCCATTTAAAATAGAAAAAATAAAAGAAAAACCAGCTGCTGTCATTATAGATTTTTCGAATATTTGTAGCGCCATCTTTTGCACAAGAATTTCAATTTTTTAAAATTTAATTTTTATTTTATCACAAATTTTGTAGTTTGACAATTTTTTAATTATAAAAATAAAATTTCATTGATTTTTCTGTCCTAAATAATAATAATAACAACAACAACAAAGTGAACAATATTTAAATAAACCATAACGATGAATAATTTCGTTTTTTCGATGATAATTTTGATGGTTGATTGATTGATCGATGGATTAAGATTTATCGTGATCATTTGTTGTATCAAAATATAATGGATCAGCACTATAAATAATATAAGCACGATCTAAAAATGCTTTCATTGTTTTCCGAGTAAAATCATCAAAAAATAAACTCATAAAACGTGAATGTATTGTTGAATAGAATTCAAATTGTACATTGAATGTAACTAGCGTACGTTTTTTATTCAATTCTTCAAATTTCCATTCAGATTCTAAAAATTTTAATATTGTACTATCGATACCTTTTACTAATAAACGATTCGGTTTATCCATATAAATAATTGATTTATATTTTTCAGTTATTAATGGTGGATAACCAACAATTAATTCTGCTTCCATACGATCATCTGTTCGTGATCGTACTGTTGATTCTAAACAATTTGGTAAAAATTGATCATAATCATCAACATTTGCAACAACATTGAATATTTGTTTTTTTGTAAATCTATTTGAATGAAAAAAACAAAAAGAAAAAGAACATTACAAAATCACGATTATTATTGGCATCAGAATCAATTTCTTACCTAACAATTCTTTGTTCAGTAAATACATGACGATTATTATTATCATTATTTAAATCTTCAGATTTTGATGATTGAAATGGTAGATCAAATAATGATCTTTGTGATAATATAATGATATTATTATTATTATTTTTCAAATCATTTAACATTGATAAATGCTGTTGTCTATAGGAATTATGATGATGATTAGGATTCATAAGATTATTACGTAACAATATCATAATTGAACGTCGCATCCTGGATTATAAAGAAAATGTCAACAAATAAATAAAATTGTAATCAAACAGATTAACGAACGAAAAAACAAAAATTATTTTCTTTTTAAAAAATTGAAAACTAAATGAAAATGAAAATAACAACAAAATTGACACAGATGATCCGATGTTGTTGATGTTGTTGATGATGATGATTGAAAACAATCGAAAAACGCATGCGCTTTCAATATGTTTGTCCCAAATTTGTCCTCGAAAAAATTATTCTTTTCAGAAAATTTTTACAGAAAGGTTATTATAATTTTTTTGTCAAAGTTTTTCTTTCTTTTTTTTAATCGACAATTCTATAAAATACAAATTGTTTTTGTTGTTGTTGTTGTAATTAAAAAATAATAATCATTATAATTATAATTTTTGATGGTTGAGCTCTACCAAAAACAAACAATCAAGATAATAATTCGAATTTTTGTTTTTTTTTTTAATCTTATAATTTAAACTGAGATTCATTCATTTATAATAATAATAATAATTTATAATTTATAAGTATTAATACAACCCGGATATTTTCATTTTATATATCTAACCGGGGGATAATTGTAGAATTAAGGAGAACAATTTGTTGTTTTTATTGGGTTTTTTGATTTTTTTTTTGCTGACCAAATCTCTAATTTTGAATTTGATTTGTTTTTCTAAAAAAAATTCTTCTTCACAATTATTATTTGAATATAACACCATTAGATTGATTTGAGGGTTTGTTTTTCGATTCGGTTTATTTTTTTTACAAAGCACCAACCAATTTTTGTAAACCTTCAGTTGTCATTGATTTAGGTCGTTCAATAGGCAGACCAAGTGCACGATCCCAAACTAATGATGACATAACACCCAATGCACGTGATACACCAAATAAAACAGTATAATATTGCATTTCTTTTAATCCATAGTACTAGTTAAATATGTCAAATAGAAAGGGTTATATTAATGGATAATTATTAATAGAAAACAATATTTTACCTGTAAAAGAACACCGGAATGGGCATCAACATTGGGCCATGGATTTTTAACTTTACCAAGTTCCAATAAAATTGGTGGTACAATTTTATAAATTTGTGCAACAAGTTTAAACATTGGATAATCGGGTAAATGTTTGAGTGCAAATTCACGTTGTACAGTATAACGTGGATCAGTTTTACGCAATACAGCATGACCATAACCAGGTACAACCTTTTAAATTTAGAAAAAATTAGATTTCTTGCCAATCACATAAGTAATAATATTTTTACCTGACCACTTTTCAATGTTTTCCATACAAATTCATTCATTTTTTCATCACTAACATTGTCACCAAGTTCTTTCTGTAATTTTGTTAACCAAACCAATACTTCTTGATTAGCTAAACCATGTAATGGTCCAGCTAAACCATTCATACCAGCAGCAAATGATAGATAAGGATCAGATAGAGCAGAACCAACAAGATGTACTGTATGAGCGCTTACATTTCCACCTTCATGATCACTATTTTTTTTGAAAAAATGATATTGAAAAAAGTTGATGTTACATTAATATAAAACCTTACCTATGGATGGTGAGATAAAGGCGCATTAAATCGGTAAATACTTGATCATTAAAACCTAACATTGTTGTAAAATTAGCTGACCAATCTTTATTTGGATCAATTGCACCAATTGATGATCCATCACGATAAAGATTACGATAAATAGTTGCAGCAATTGTTGGTAATTTTGCTATCAAACGAATAGCATCTTCATAAACATATTCCCAATATGTTGCTTTATTAACACCTTCACCATATGCTTTTGCAAATAATGATTCAGTATTACAAGCAGTTACTGCAGCACTAAATTGTGACATTGGATGTAGATTTGATGGAAAATTATTCAACATTGTAACAACATGTGATGGTAGATCGGCATGAGCAGCAAATTGTTTTGAAAGTGTTTCAACTTGTTGTTTATTCGGTATATCACCGGTTAATAAAAGCCAATAAAGACCTTCAGGTAATGGTTCTTCACCACCAGGTGCACGTGGTAATTTTTCACGACATTCAGGTATTGAATAACCACGAAACGAGATACCAGTTTCAGGATCAAGATAAGATGTTTCAGTAACTAATGCTTTTAAACCACGCATACCACCATAAACTTGATCGATAGCAATTTCACCAATAACATTATTACCAAATGCAGCACGAAATTCTTTAACACGTCGTTGATGTTCAACAATTTTTTTAGCCATAATACCTTTTAAATCGGTACTTTCCGATGGATTACTAATAAATCTAGCTGATGCATAATTAATACATGCTACAGGTAGGCCATTTGTTTGATTAATTTGAAATAATCGTCGACATAACATAGACTATATAATGATGACATTAAAGAACATTTTTTGTTCAAATCAAAAACAACTTACCATTTTTTAAAAAAAAGTTGATTCAGAATTGATTGCTTCAAGCAAAAAAAACAACGAAAAGTATGGATTTGAAAAAAAAACAATAACAAAAAAACAAAGTGAATGAAGAAACAATGGAACTGCTGTTTGAAGAGAGAGAAAAAATAGAAAAAAGAATTACAAATTAATTACAAAATCAATCAAAATTACAAAATAATTAATCAAAATTAATCAATCAAGTCTGACGACGATTAGATAATGTACCAGAAAATGTTTTTAATCTAGAAACCAAAACAAAAAAAAAAGAAACAATAACCTGAGGATAAAGATACTAAAAAACACTAGAAAAAAAACTTTTGAAAAAAGATCTACTTTGAAAAAAATTTTTAAAAGGAACTATGAAATATTTGGATATAATATGCGGCTAATATGATTTAAATTGTGATTCAAAAAACTAATATAAACTAAATGATCATGATGACGTTTACCACACACACACACACGCAAACACCACTGACTGTTGGCTGTTTAATCGATGTTTTTCTTTAGAAGAAAAACAAGTGAGAGATGAAGCAAATGAGAGAAAGAGAGATATCGATATCTTTGTATTGCAACAAAAAAGAAACGAAAAGAAATTTTTTTGATTAAAGAAATATGGATGGCTATTGATGATCAGTTTTTCGTGGCCACTGCCGTCGTTAGAGGATAATCGTGTTAAATTGTTTGTATCAAAAAAGAAAGAAAAGAAACAAAAAGAAACAAACCTAAACCAGAAAAGAAACACTGAAATGATGTCGATAAATGCCGTTCGTTTAATGTAATGATTTTTTTCTTTTCTTTTTTTTCCTTTGGCTGGTTGGCTTGGTGCTTTCGGTTTTCACTCTTCGTTCAGGTCGAACATTTTGTTTTTAAGGCAAGGACATTTTTTTTTTCTTTGGTAACTTTATTTATGAATGTACATTCCTATGGTTCGATTTTTTTTGGTTTCATAATTATATGCTACTACTTTATTTTTTTTAATATACGAAACATTCGTTCAGCTATGCTACTAGCAATCGAATCATCGATTATAATGATGATGATGATGATGATGCCGGTTGATTTAAAAAAAAAAAATTCGATTTTTGTTTGGGAAATTCTTTAATCGGAAAAAGAATTACAAATTTTCTATTTTCTTATCTTTCTTTTAAGATATTCAAGATTCCGTTATTGTATTTGTACCTGACTGATGTTTTTCAGCTTCTCTCTCTCGCATGATGATTTGAAAAACACCTTGTTTTTTTTTAAATTCAACAAAAAACAATGTCAAATGAAAAAAATACATAAATCACACCACCATGTTTAATCTGTATATAGCAAACAAGCAAAAAGAAAGGATCATCATGATGACGATGATGATTTTGAAGAAAAAATAATGTACAAAATGTTGATTTCTTTCAATCTTTTTTGTCTAATTTAACAAATGAATCGGTTTGATGATGATGGTTAATTCCAATCATTTCGTAATCAAGAAGAATCATCACTGTGTAATCGCTTTTCTATATTCAAAGAATGTTGATATTTTTAAAACTCTCTCCCTTTCGCTTACCATTGTCAATCTCTTCCCTTTGTAAAATAAAAGTACATGATCCTATACGAGCCAAAAACTTGACGAAAATGTCATGCATATGTCATATTGATAATGACGTCAGAAAACAACGAAAAAAATGAACAGATTTTTCTCCCTTATAATTTTATTTATTTATTTATGTTTATAAAAAAAGTAATTTGATTTACTAAAATAGATTTATAATTATAATAATAATGGATTTCTATTTTTGTTTTGCAGGTAATCAAAAATATCGATCGATCGATTTTTTTTATCGATAAAATCTTAATTCACTTTCAACTGAATCACTAAAAAGATTATCAATTTCATCATTATCATCATTAACATCATAATGGCCATCATTTTCAAACATTTTTTCCAATTCATCAATACAAACATTTTCAATTTTTAATAATGTTTGATGTAATTCTTGATCAGTTTTACATAATTTTTCATAAAATTCTTCATGTTTTCGATAAAGTAAATGTCGTCGATCTAAATCAGAAGAATTATCAATTGAAACATCATCATCTTCGGGAAAACTATTTGGTGATTTAGTTTTTTCCGATGCTATTTTGACTTTTGAATGAAATATAAATGGTTTATAATATGAATATTCGGAATCTGGTGTTCCGGTAAACCAATGTATCGATGGTCGTTGTTTAATATTATTCGATATAATCGATACCTGACTAGATGTTGTTGGATATTCATGATCATTCGAACGACAAATACCACTATTTTTATCACGTAATATTTTTATCATTGATTTTATATCAAAATTTTCATCTTTTGTATAATTTTCTAGGAAATTTTTTCCTGCTTCAAAACGTTTACGATCATTATGTTCAGGATCGGTGAATATTCGAGCAAAATCAAATTCATCTTGTCCATTCCATAAATTATTATCAATTGCTAATTGTTTCATACCATCACTAATACGATCAATTCGTGTACCAATACTAAGACAATTTGAAATATTACGATATTTCCCCTGGATTTTTTCCGCAACAAATTCATTTTCAACAGTTTCAATAATCCATGCTTCAAATGGATCAGCAATAAGAAATCCATTATGATAGAAAAAATTTGTTTGTATATTTGAACATGGTCCACCTTGTCCATATTTTTTCAATAATTCTGTAATAATATCTACTGCTTCATTGGCTGTACGTGAACGTTCCAAACCTAATCGTACTAAATCCATACCAAGTAATTTTTTTTCACGAACATTATCAACATTTTTTCGGATTATTTGATTCCAAATTGCTTCATTACCAATACAAACACCATGTTCATTTGAACCCATTTCAGCACCCCACATCCATGATGGTTTACTTAAAATTACGGAATTGGTTTCCGGAACTGAATCAATTTCAATATAGGTACACTTTTCATAAAAATTTATAAAAATTAATTACAAAACAATTTTTACTTTTTCAAAAACAGATAAAACAAATAGACATTACCCTTTGTTTACAATTATTTTCAAATTTTCTTTTTGGAATATAAACAATTTCTTGTACTTCACCGGATGGTCGATCAGAATTTTTACCAAAAATCATTTGACCAGTTCGAGTGGCCGTTGGTAATACAACAAATGTATCACATGATTGAATCATTTTTCAGAATTTTTTCAAAAATTAACAAACACTAAACAAGACAAATGAAAGAAAACTCTACAGAAATAGAAAAATTCCAACCAACAAGCCAAAAACAGAATCGAAAAAAAACCGATCGATAATTTTTCTTCTGAAAAATATCCTGGTTGTCAGTTTGTTGTTAGGTTGTTGTTGTTGTCGTTATCAACCAAAATCAAAACCAAACTTCTTAGCAGATGCAGTGTCTGTGATACACCAAAAATCAAAAATGATATTTTTTTTCACTAAAAAAAATTATTAAAAAAAAAAATTTTCATTGTTTCCAAAAATATCATTTCTTCTCTTCTTTTGGTCGGTGGTGTGTGTGTGTGTTAGACCAAATTTTCCATCATTTAAAATGAATGAATGGATAATGGATACCAGGAATTTAACCAAGCCAAACCTAAAGTTGTCAAACTGGATTGATATCTTTCTTTTTGTTTTCTGTTTATCCAAAAGCCAAAACAACCAAAAGCAACAAAGCAAAACAAACGAAACGAACAAACATTGTTATTATCGTCAGGGAATTATATAGAAAAAATGCCCGGTTGAATGATTATGATGACGATGACGATGGCGAAGACGACAACAACGATAATGATGATGACAACCATACATAGTTAATGATGATGATGATGATAATAATAATAATGATGGCTATTCACTTGATAATAATGATGATGGCATTATTCATTCATCAACTTTTTTTTTCTTCGTTTTTTTTGGCTATTTTTACATTTACGCCAATTTATTTTCATTTTCTTCTCTTCTTGTTGATGTTGTCCTTGAATGATCGAAACTGAGACGATTTTTTTTTATTATATTCAAGGATTCTTTTTTGAAAATTTATTAAATTGAAAAAAAACTGAAAAATTTTAAAATTTGATTAATTTCGTTTTTCGAAAAGATGTTTTTTTCATCCGATCCATTCGATTCTATATCCACCCACGCATACACACATTTCATTACGCGGATTTTCTTTCTTTCTTTTTCTCCGATTCACATTTCACATTTTCAATTCAATTCATTTATCATATTCATTTTTGGTCGGCGGCGACGGCGGCAATTCGGTTATTCTTTCCATCTTTATTTATTTATCATTTTAATGATGATGATGATGATGATGATATCCAGGACAAACAAACAAACAAACACATCCATCCAACCACTCAATCCAATATTCTTTACTATTTTCATCCAATCATGACAACAATCTATATGTGTGTGTGTGTTTATATAGAATCGAACAAATAGAAATAGAAGAAAGAAAGAATATTCTGGATCTAAACCAAAAGAATGATGGGAAAATATTCACAATTTCTATATCTTGATCAAGATGATGATGATGATGTTGTTGATGTTTATCATCATTTTTTGTATCAAGTGCATCGGAAGATGTGGCTGTCTGGCTGGCTTTAAAAAAAAAAATCTTACAGAATCCAACAGAATCCATGGGAAAATTTTTTTTTCGGTTCGGTTCACCGATTATTCTATGCTTTAGCTCAACACCAAATTCTATATCCATTCATCCATAACATCATCCCATTCGCATGCTTTTATCCACCATCATTCCTCCCCACCGCAAACGACCAAAGGCTATTTGCTATAACCGAAAAACAATCGAATCGAAATAACATCAAGAATTTTTCGCTATAGCGACACAGAGAGAGAGAGAGGTCACCAAACCGATGGATAGATAGATGGATGAATGATAATGGTTTGAGGATATCCATCTTGAAAACAGAATTCAAAAATTCTGGAACAACCACTCACAGCCCTCAGTACAGTACAGCACAGCACTATTTCCACTAAAATTGTTTCAAATTCTGTTTATTATCGTTGATGCTGCTGCTCCTACGATTCTACGATTCCAAAAATTATACTACAGCCGGTTTACATTCCAACCCAACCAATAATGCTTCCATCAGAAAAAAATAATTCCCGATTCTACTCTTTTCCCGATTCTGTTGATGTTCGAAAAAAAAGTGATGAACGAATCCAGAATAAAAATATTAAAAAATTTTTGAGCAGAATCCAGAATTTTTTTTCTCTTCTTCGCACTGATGATGATTCGAAACATAACATCATCATCGTCATATTTGCCGCTGTGTTTTTGCGTTTTTTGGGTTGTTTATAAGTGTGTGTTGTTGTTGTTGTTCCAATTGGAACAACAAATGAAAAAAAAATACAAAGTAAAATTCCAAGGATTAATGAACCAACCAACTAACCAAACTCAAGTCAACAACAACAACAACAACAATATGCAAATTTTTGTAAATAAAAAAAAATTTCTTTGAAAAAATTTTTGTAAAATTTTTTTACAAAAAAAAAATTCTTATCATCACCGCATCATCATCGAATAAGGTTAGTGATTTTTTCTTTCTTCTTTTTCGTTCCAAGAAAGTTTCTTGGAAAGAAAATTTTACTTACGAAAAAAAAATGTTTGTTTCTGGAAATATTTTTTTTTCTACATTAAAAATTCATATTTTTTCAAAATTATTTTTTTTCTGATGAAAAAAATAATTTTTCCATTTTCAAAATTCAACTTTTTTAACACTTAAAAACAAAAAAACATTCAAAATAAACTTGTCAAAATGAAATGGATCGATTCGATGAATCGATCCATTCAGTCCACTAACAACAACGGCAACAGAATATTTTTCTTTTCTAAAGAAAGAAAAAGAAAAAATTCTGTTGTTGTTGTTTTTTCAAGATTCTTTCGACTTGAAATAGAAAAAAAGTTTTTTTCAAAAAAAAAATTCTTTTGTCATCATCATCTTAGCATCATTGTCATATACCGAGAGAGAGAGAGAGAGAGAGAGAGAGAGAGAGAGAGAGAGAATGCGAAAAAAAATTCTTTGTTTGTCATCATCA